CCTCCCTGCTGACAATCGTCCTCGACACAAACCCCCACGCCTGGGCCCTCCTCGAAGCCTCCCTCCCCCTCTCCACCGCAATAGCCAACATCCTCGTCTTCGTCAACGCCCATCTCGCCTGCAATTACGCCAACGAGGTCGCGGTCGTCGCATCGCACAGCCAAAAGGCGACGTGGCTGTACCCGTGCGAGGGCAACAAGAGCAAGGGCAAGAGTAAAAGTAAGAGCAAGGGTAAGACGGGGAGAGATGAAGACGGCGATGTCGCCATGAACGGGCCCGACGCAGGCGTAGGACCAGGATCCGCAGCGGCCCAGGTGAATAAGTACCGTCCCTTCCGGATCGTCGAGGAGCAAGTCACCCGCAACCTGCGACGACTCATGGACTCGACCAGCGGCGCGGACGTCGCGGCCACCACCTCGACCATGATGGCGGGGGCGCTGACGCTGGCCCTGAGCCATATCAACCGGCGGTCGATTGCGTGGGCGGAGGCGCATGGGGGAACTGCGGCTGGGCCGACAGGGGCGGCCGAGGGGGGCGGCTCCGGGGCTGGTAGGCCTGCGACGGAGGCTGGGGCAGAGGGTCTGCAGTCGCGGATCCTGATCATCTCCGTGAGCAGTTCGACGGATTCGGCACATCAGTACATTCCGATCATGAACTGTATCTTTGCCTGTCAGCGGCTTCATATCCCCATAGATGTCTGCAAGCTGAGCGGGGATGCGGTGTTCCTGCAACAGGCGTCCGATGCCACCAAGGGAGTCTACATGTCGCTCTCCGAACCTCGCGGCCTACTACAGTACTTGATGATGGCGTTCCTACCTGACCAGCGGTCTCGGAGACACTTGGTCCTGCCAACGCGCGTCGACGTCGACTTCCGTGCCGCTTGCTTCTGCCATCGCCGTGTCGTCGATATTGGCTTTGTCTGTTCAATCTGCCTGAGCATCTTCTGTGAACCTCCCGAAAACGGCGACTGCCTTACTTGTGGCACTCATCTCGAGATGGGTGACTACGGTGCCAGGCCGGCGGTTGTCGCTCGAAAGAAGAAGAAGAAGAAGGTTCGCGCCAACGGTGCATCAGGGACAGCAACTCCCACACCTACACCTACACCGGGCCCTTGAAAACCCCACAGTTCGAAGTGCAACCATTTACAACCAGGGAAATTCAGTTTTCAAATCGCATGTGTTGGACTATTTGCTCGAAGCTCTTGCTTTTGCACTATGCTGCCTATTTCAAAGATATGTCGGCCTTGAAAGCTGGTGCAGAGAGGAGATCTTGGTCATGGGCACATGCAAGGAACTGTGAGGATGGACAATGGAGACCCCAACTCACCAACGTTGGCCATACTACAACCTGAAAGAATACCAGCGCAAAAAAAAAATTGCAAAGGGGGGCAATCTAAGGGCAGCAAGGATGCCACTCATAGGCGTGGTATGCAAACAGCAAGTCTCCGAACCGGCTCTGTGAGAAAGACGAAGGTCCAAACCCAATCGTGAGACAATCCTAGGCGGCCAATTCGCTCGTATCTGGTATTGCGACGAGAGTTAGCGTGTAATTTCACGAATTCGGTCAGCTATCGGCGAACTGGACGGCAATTTCACTTCGCATTCGAGGGCAGCATCAGCGGAAACTTACTCTTTAGAGATAATCACTCCCCGGTGATGCTCAGATTTATTGTCGTGGCTACAAGCGCAAGTCAGTGATGCATTCGTATCAGCGCCAACTTGGCTGCCGATCATGAGAGGTGTCATGCACATATACCTTATTTTCTGGCCCGATAGGCGCGGCCACCTTGAGCAATAGTCGAATTTCCCTGGTTACGAGACATCACAGACGCCGGTTTCCTATCCTCACTACTCATGGAAGCGAGAGCCTAGAATATGCGAGTTCAGTGTACATGTTTTCCAGAAGACCAAACTTGAACGGAGTACTCACAAAAGAATCAGAATTATGACCAAAGTAGAAGAAAATTCCGTCCTTTGTCTTTTTGACAGTCAAGATTCCAATAGCGCCTCCACAAGGGCTCGCTTTCACACCGGGATGCTCTGCGCAAATTGTAAACGATTTGTTCTCTATCAATGGTCGTAACGGATAGGAAATACAAGAACTCACCCATGAACTCAGTGGCTATTGTCGCATTCATAGCTTCATCTTCGGAGACCTTTTCAAAGGTGCCGTCCATACGCTTCTTTTGACAATAGTAGAGTCTTAAAGCTGACGTCTGCGCGGCCATAGTTGTAGCAATGTGCTCGCCTGTGCCCGATGTAACCGAAGCCACGGATGCTTGTTCGGGATCGCTGGGGTCTACGGGAATCACATAGGTGCCGATGCCCACCAGCGCGGCAGGCCCGATTCGACCGCGATGCTTCGCGCCAATGCCACCAGATGAAGAACCTGCTGCAATATTGCCATAACAGTCTACGGCTATAGCCCCGACGGTATCGTTGATCATATCTTCGTCTTCATCTGCAGCACCTGGATGAGCATTCACGGAGGTAGTGACAGGGGCACCAGATGCTGTCGTAGGGGTTGCTCGGGAAGTCGCACCATCTGCATTGGTATTGGTTGAGGCAGCCATACCTGGCCCAGGTGCAGAAGCCATATTTTGTCCACCTGCAGCAGCCATGGATTGCCCACTGGTAGCAGCCATAGATTGTCCACTTGCAGGACCCATGCTCTGTCCATGGTTTGGAGCCATAGTTGGTGGTGCAGGAGCCTGGGGACGAGGAAGAGGGTTCAGCAAGTCGACTCCGGTAAAGGGAGAGTTGGGTACATGTGGGCGTAAACGAGTATTGTCAATGAGGCGGGCTGGATGACGATTCAACATTGGCCGACGAAGGAAGGATGCTCTATCTTCTTCCATGCGAAAACGCGCAGGATCCCGTTTCCTTTCGGCCAGTTCAGCAGCCTCAAGATCCTGCAGCCAGCGGTGCCATCTCTCTTTCGAATAGCGCGAAATGAGGCCGTCAGGAGGCAGTATGACCAACCCTTGCTCATAAGCAAAGTCCGTTGCACCCTCACCAACGAGGAAGCTTGGTGGCACTCTGTGGCAAGTTAAGGCCTTTGCAGAGGTTTCGAGTAGCATTCGCGCTAGAGAGATCGGATTTTTAACCTCTGAAGTAGGCCAAAGACATTAGCAAAAAGACCACGATAGAGATGGCGGGCAGTCCAATAAATATCACAAGAACAGGTGATCGTAAAGCTGAGAAGAAAGAAGAAACACTTACGCGAGACGGCTCCAGCTGCGCCGCTTCTTCCATGGTGGTCGACAATAGTCGCATCACATTCGACAGCTCCTTCAATCGTCAAGTTGCTTCCGTAGCCAGCATTTGTCATCTCGTCATCCTCCATTACAATGATGGCCATTTCGACGGCATCCAGAGCTGATCCACCGCTTTTCAAAATACCCATTGCGGCTTTGCAGGCACTATTGGCAGTCAGACCCGGAACAAAAGCTGATACATGAACGAGGTTGATCATGGATCCGCAGGCGGATGAAAGACTTACTTTTCGCATACTTCCAGGTGAGCTCTCTCATTTCCATGGCCGTGATATCCCGCTCCTACGTGAACGAAGATGGCAGAGATACCTCCACCTCTCTGCGGCTCGCTCATATTGAAGATGATAGACTTCAATTGAGGACAGAAGAGGCGAGTATCCTGAAGCTGCAGCCAGATGTTGTGACTGTGGATGGAGGTTGAGGCCAGAAGACCGCGCTGCAGAACGCGAGTTGAGACCCAAACAAAAGACACACAGGAGGCGGTAGCGCAATTGATATTCACTGCAGTCGAGAGGCTAGCATCTCGAAACGAAGAGCACAGAGCAAGCTAATAAGCGAAGTAATAGAGCTCAACGCCCACCACGTGGGTTTCGCTCACTTTTCCTTTCCTGTTATGAGAATGAGGGAGAGAATAGCTCAATAGGAAAGAAGTAATAATACAAAAAGAGCTTTCTTCTGCTCAGGCGAATGAGTGGGAGGGAGGTATATCAGAGAGGAGCAAAACTGATGGGATAAGGCTATGACAAACGAACAGAAACTGGTATGAGGAAACATTAGGAGAAGACTTCAAAGCCAGAAGCTGAAAGGACAAATATGGAGAGTGGTTAGTATTGAATAGGACATGGATGAGAGAACAAACAGCAGAGCAGGTTGGACGACGTACAAAATCCATCGATCAAAGCTGGAGAAGAAGCTGGAGTCCATGGAGAGGTGGTTTCCCTTTTAGGAAGAAGAATATCTTCTGTGAGAGCAGCAGTAACCTCTTCTTACTAAGGTGTCTTCTGTCACCGCCTTGATGCCTGATTACACTGATATACAATGGATACTCTATACAATAGTGATTGATTATCCAGATAGTTAATAAACACTGAGTATCTCCATCTGCAGTGGGATAGATGATAGATACCTAGCCTGCAACTATGAGATTTGTGGAGAGCACATGACATGGCTTGGCAACTACGTATTAGATCTCCATAGTTAGTCTGCTCCATACACGAGGTACCTACTGTTGCTGCCCGCCTTCACCTCCCCTCATCCTCCTCCTCCACCACTATTCCCGTGCTTCGGACAGTATCCCTTTCACTCAACCAATTGATCACTCGAACTCCTCTTCAATTTCTGTTATATCAGTCTTCGGCACGACTCCAGCGGTCCCACTTCATCCTACCGTGGCCTGTCAATAGGGGACATCTCAATCCGTCATGGCGTCCCAGACTCCGGCCGTTGTCATGGACAAGTATGTTGATTTATCTTCCATAGATTCAGTGTATTTTGGCTAATGATGGTATCTTCTCGCGCTCAGCGGTACCGGTTACTCCAAGCTCGGTGAGTTTCAATCCGACTCCTGGCTACCTTGCATCCACCAAGCATTAGGCTGACACAACCTTAGGTTTCGCCGGTAACGATTCACCCTCTTTCGTCTTTCCTACTGCGATTGCCAGCAAGGTAGGCGCCGGAAGCGCGGGCAGTTCCGCCAGCCGACCACCTGTTGCCAATAAGCCATCGTTCCTCGGGGGAGGGTCTGGGTCAAGCTCGAACTTGTCCGCAAAGCGTGGAACTGAGGATTTGGATTTCTTCATCGGTGATGAAGCTCTGGCGGCTGCCAATGGGCCTGGTTACGGTATCAACTACCCGATTCGCCACGGACAGATCGAAAACTGGGATGCTATGGAACGTTTCTGGTCCAATTCGATCTTCAAGTACCTGCGCGTCGAGCCCGAAGATCACTACTTCCTGCTTACTGAACCGGTACGCTCATGAGACTCGATGGACTGCATTTTATTCTTTACAGAATTATACTGATATGTGCTCCATGGTCAGCCCCTGAATCCTCCTGAGAACCGCGAGAACACCGCAGAGATCATGTTCGAGTCGTTCAACTGTGCTGGTCTTTACATTGCCGTTCAAGCGGTGCTCGCCCTCGCTGCTTCATGGACGTCCTCTAAAGTGACCGATCGATCCCTTACTGGAACGGTCATTGACTCTGGTGATGGTGTTACCCATGTCATTCCTGTCGCGGAAGGCTACGTCATCGGATCATCCATCAAGAGTATCCCAATCGCTGGTCGAGACATTACCTACTTCGTACAGAGCTTGCTGCGCGACCGAGGCGAGCCGGATAGCAGCTTGAAGACGGCAGAGCGGGTCAAGGAGGAGTACTGTTATGTGTGCCCTGACATCGTCAAGGAGTTTGCCCGCTATGACCGCGAGCCCGACCGGTTTCTGAAGCATACCGTGACCTCCCCTAACGGCCGGAGCGTGACCATTGACATCGGCTACGAGCGTTTCCTTGCTCCAGAGATCTTCTTCAACCCTGAAATCTACTCTTCCGACTTCCTGACTCCCTTGCCGCAAGTCGTTGACGGCGTTATTCAGTCCTCACCCATCGATGTCCGGAGAGGCCTTTACAAGAATATCGTCTTGTCTGGTGGATCGACCTTGTACAAGGACTTTGGCCGTCGTTTACAGCGCGATATCCGACACCTGGTAGATGCTCGTATTCGCGCCTCGGAAGCTCGCAGCGGTGGTGCTAAGAGTGGCGGTCTGGACGTGGCTGTTGTGACACACAAGAGACAGAGACACGGCCCCTGGTTCGGTGGCAGTCTGCTAGGACAGACCCCTGAATTCCGGAGCTACTGCCACACCAAGGCAGAATATGATGAGATTGGTCCCAGCATTGTCCGCAGATTTGCCCTCCTGGGTGGTCCTGGAAGCACCTAAGGTAAATCAATAACGGATTTATTTGCTTGAACGTTGTGTCTGCTAGCCCTGTGTCGGTCCTTGTTTATAGTTATTCTTCTGTCATGAAAATTTAGATCATTCTTCTTTGACACGGCTACCTTTACAGGGTTCAGGAGGTTGAGGGAGGGCAAGGACGCTATGTGCGCTGAAATCCAGCCTGCCTAATGGCAATGTAAACAACAACCACAATGTACATATATGCAAATGGGATCATATCGCCTGAAAGCCTGCTTGAACTTTTTCGTCCTGTACCTGAACGCCGCCTAAACCGTTGAGCATGAATGTGTATAGATTCGCAGATATTTTAATTGCTTTTATATTGGTACAGAGCAGATACTAAGACACAGTGACCGGCACCTTATTCAAAATCGCGACTCCCTCCACATGTCCCGTCTGCGGGAAGAAGTCGAATCCTCGAATACTCTCGATCTCATATCTCGAGTTCGCATCTCCTTGAACCATGACCGCCACATCGCGCGCCTGCGTGTGCACGTTGCAGCTGACATATACAACCCGACGGGGACCGTAGGTCAGAAGTTGACGGAGGAAATCATCGCTGCACCCTTTACGCGGCGGGTCAATGACGAGCAGAGTCTGTTCGGGCGGGTATGGGACGTTCTTGAAGAGGGTGGCGGCGTCTGCGGCGGCAAAGCCAGTATTGGGGAGGTTGTTGGCGCGGGCGTTCTCGCGGGCGGACACGATGGAGTCGCCCGCTACATCCACGCCGAGACTCGATTTAAAGAGAGGAGATAGGGTGATGGTGAAGAGACCGGAGCCGGAGTAGGCGTCGAGGAGGTACTTGATCGGCTTGGGATCTTGTTCGTTGTCTTTTGGGAATGCGTGCTGGCGAATGTACTCTGTGAACCCGGAGAGGATGGAGTTGTTGTTCTGGAAGAAAGCGCCGGCTTTGTTGGTGAAGATGTAGTCGTCGATGTATTCAACTGAGGTGGCGTTGTTGTCGGTCACGCATCGCTTCTCTTCGATGTAGTTATCGCGTTCTATACGAATGACGTCGCCGGACTCCGATTCTGGTGCGTTCTCACCCTCTTTCTGTACGGCGCTGGCATCCGCCTCGGCCGAACCCTTCGGGATGCGCCTGGTAGATTCGCGCATCAGAAGCGTTGCACCCTTTTTAGTATATTTGTGGAGGTTCTCGGCAACCCTCTTCCTCTCACTCTTGAGGCCTCGCCGGACAATGTCTGTCCCCAACGGGCAATCCTCAATGTCCATATCCATGCGCCGGTTCTTATATGTGAATCCGATGGGAGGCACTTCGGTTGGGACTTCGTCGGACTTCCTCCTCTTGGCTGCGCCGTGGCCCCCAGGAGCCGTAAAGTGTGGTGTCAACTTGGTCCGGTACCCGTATTGCAAAGGCGAAGCGAAAGTGTCGTCAACGGCGGGGATCAGCTCGGGAATGAGGCCCGAGAAGTTGGCATAAGCTTTCTCGACAATGCGCTTCTTGTGCGCCAGCTGGTCTTCGTAAGACATCATCTGCAGCTGACATCCGGAGCACCTGCCAAAGTACCCGCATCCAATTGCGGCATCATTACGCTGGGGCCCTGGTTCAAGCACCTTGATAAAGTCTGTCACACTGTGGGATAAAGGCTCGTGATGCCGGACAACCTTGACTAGCACCTTGTCCCCTGGGACAGTGAAGGGGACGACGTAGACATGATCCTTGTTTTCGGAAAGTGCGAGACCATCTCCAGTGGAAGATAGCTCGGACACCGTCACTTCGATCTCTGTGAAGAGCTCTGGTAATGCGGGTGATGGGGTGGAAGCATCGTTTTCTGCCTCGGGTTTATTCTTTTGGAGAAGGTGATCAATGTCGGTCTGAAGGATTTCGTCAAATCCGGAATTCTTTGTCCGATCGGCTCTACCCTTCTTGCGCCGCTTTGCGTCCGTCTGAGGTTTTCTGGAAGAATTCTGCATGGCGTTTATAGGCAATGGCGCATTGCGATGCGGCGAGATATGAGGGAAGAGAGCTTTGCTGGAATGCGCAAAGCGACTAGGTTGCGAAGTAAAAAGCCGATTCTTCAATGACAGTGAGAAAACTGATCTCACAGCGAACATGAAGTCAGAACCTCTGAACAGAAATTGAGGTAATTCTTCGAGTGCTGTATAAAAGTAACTGAATGGAAAGGTCCAAGAAAATTGGCGGAGGAAAAGAGGTCAGCGGAAAGGGCGGACGCGGATTGGCTGGAGGCTCTCCGCTGAGAATTTCACCGTCCCGTCGATTGTTCCCTTCTGTCCATCTCACTCACTCCCTCTCGCGGCCCATCTATATCGCCAATCTCGCGACATCCCCTTTGTTACTTGGGCTCTCAAAAGGCCTCCATCGCCAGAGAGCTGCGTTCTGTCACAATGAGTGTCGCCCGACCGGTTAGATGTCTGTTCTGCAGCTTTTCTCGGCCTGCCTCCGCGGTCCCTCGTGTGCCTCGCCGCCAATTCCACCCTTCTCCAGCGCAGCTCTCCAACCGGAAACCGAAATTTCCCAATGTCAAGGCCGATAGTTTGAAGTCCTTGGAGGAGATCTCCCGGACCCTTAAGCCGGAGGATTTCAAGCCCTACACAGAGGAAGAGAAAGCACGGCTGCAGGAAGAGTACACGCCAGAGCAGATGGCCGCGATTGAAGCCGGTGAGGCGGCAATCGATCCCAAGGATCTAGCAGAGCAGTTTGCCATCCGTCGGGATCCGATGAAGCTTCACTATCTTGATGATTTCTCGACCATCGAACCCGGGGTAGACAAGCACGTCCGGGCCCCCGTGACCAATTCCGATTACAATGCCGAACTGAAAAGCGAGAGCGACTTCGCAGAGGATTTCGGCCGCTTCCTTGCAGAGCTTCCCAGAGACCCCACTGCGGCCGACTGGGTACGGTTCGCGGAGACGCTTCGTATGACCCATGGCAAGGAGGAGAACGAGTTGAACCCCCACAGCGCATTGGTCCCCGATCTGCTTGCTCCTGGAGAGTCTATCAGTGGGGAGCGGAAGGAGATCAATTTCTTCAAGGAGACAGACCCGAAGGCCAGAGAGTCAGAGGAGATTACGGATGCATTGAAGCAGCTCCTTTTGGCTACCGGGTATTCACAAAAGGAGATTCAGGATCTGAGGACAAAGACGCTCGTTTCGCACGCGGTTGTCAACCAGACCCGCTTGGGTAAAGTCCGTCGTCAATACTGCTTGTCGATTGCTGGTAACGGCAACGGTTTGCTGGGAATTGGCGAAGCCAAATCAGAAGAACCCGCCGACGCTCAGACGCAGTCCAGGTACAGGGCTATTCGAAACATGCAGCCCATTCCCCGTTATGAGGACCGGACGATCTTCGGGGATGTCGAGGGCAAGGTGGGAGCTGTTGAGTTAAAATTGATGACCCGCCCTCCAGGTAAGACTTCGATTCTTGCCGATATCAGTAGCAGCACAGTAGCTGACGATTGCCGTACTAGGATTCGGTCTCCGTTGCCAGCATCTGATCTTTGAGATGTGCCGTGCATGTGGCATCCACGACCTTGCCGCTCGGGTGTCCCGCGCAAGAAATCCCATGAACACAGTCAAGGCCGCCTACGAGGCTCTGATGAGCCAGCGCAACCCCGAAGACATCGCTCGGGCGCGGGGCAGGAAGTTGGTCGATGTGCGCAAAGTCTACTATTCGGGAAGAGCCTAGATCCTCCTTCATTCAATCTCGTTTGGACGCACCACTTTCTTCTCCCACAAATGCTGTCTTTTTGGTTCTGCTAGTTAGTGACACAGAGGGACATCTTGACGAGTCTTTATCATGCATAGAGTCGGCTGTATGATTACGGACACAATCTGAGCGGCATTCTCCTCAATGCTTGCTGTGCGTTACGGCGGTGTATATAATTGTTTTTTGACTTTACTCTCCATGTCTTCTTACCATGTACTTGTACCAAGCCACTGCCATATTATCGAAACCAGTCTATCCCATTGAAACCAAAACTCCGCGCCATATTGTCCATGAACCCATCCAATCTACGAAACAAACACCCCGCCATAACGCATCCAGAGGGAATCAAACAGGGTATACCGATACCACCCCATGCAGTCCACACACACCCATTCCCACGTCCATACATACATCCAACACCAGGGCACCATCAGGACTGTATTCACGCATACCTCCCCGTAAAACTAACATCCCCCTCATAACCCAACCCCTGACCCTGGAACTGCTCATCCTGTCGCTCCCCATACTGCTGCTGCTGCTCCTCACTCTCATTGATCATCTGCTGCTGCAACACAATACTATACACACTCGCCTTGAGCAACGTGCACACAGTCGCAGTCTTGCGTTCCAGCAACCGCAACCCATCAAGCGTCAACGAGGTCGGATCCCCCGCGAGACCGGCCAGTTTATCCGACAACTACCCCTCACCATCGTAATTAGCATCGACCGTTGAGACTTGTAGAATTATAGCTCGTGGAGGGGGGCGGGAGCGCAGGACAAGCCGAGGAGGCGTAGACATCATGGATTGGGTACCTTGTTCACGTTCCCCAGGAGCCGGGTATACTCGTCCAGCACTTCCTGCTCGAGATCCGAGACAAGAGGGTTCGAGGCGCGGAGGAGAGGGTTTTCTCTTGTTATTGGGGAGGAGGGATCGCATTCGCGGCTGGCGGCGGCGGCGGCGGGGTCTTCGTTGCAGGAGGACATCGCGACTGCGTGGTGGTTCTTGGTGGATGAGGATATTGGCGCTCGATTCTTTGGATGTTCTGATTTTCCGTTCTCGATGTTTACGTTTAGATGAGGTCTCGACCAGGTGGTTAGCTCTTGGTTTGTTGACTTGGGTAGGATTGTTTGTTTGGGTCTTTGGGTCGCGGCGGATTTTCTTTGAATGAGATCATCTGAATCATTATTCAGTGAAGTCTCTTATCTTAAACAGGAAAATACCACAGCAAGTAGTATTTCTTCTAATTTCAAATATAGATCTCGGGTCTTCTACAAAGACTTCTATGGCCGTTAATTTTCTCAAAAGTAAAGAATGCTAGAATCCATTCAGTGATCGCTTGAGCCCTCCAGTCCCGACTCCCGAGGCCAGGCCAGCTCCTCTTCTGGACATTCACAACACTCATTTCTGCAGGAAGCAACAGATACATGAACAGAAAATAGTCGAATAATCCATGCCCGAGTGTATAGTAGACTCGAAGCTAACCTCCAATGATGGGATACAAACCACGAACAGGCGCTCCGTCACGCATCTGAACTGGTCCGCTAATATAACCGAAATCGAAAAACGCCGTCTTCTGCAATAGTGACAGTAATGGAAAGCGGGAAATAAAACATTCGCCGTCGTGGAATGGAAAGGAATACGAAAAAGCCGAAAATCACCCACAAAGCATACAACGTCCGAAGAGTGGACTTGAACTGTCCTAGAAAACCGAAAGAAAGTCCACAATCACCTTGAGCAAAGCAGGATGTAAGAATAAAAGCCAATGGGATAGCTCTAGCACGCCAAACTCCAAGTTAATAGTTGCAACAGAATATTAACGTTCGAACACAGATCTTCATGTATCATGATCATGAAAGCAACCTCACGTCAGAGGTCTGAAAGAGTCGCTCAGGCGTTTCGTTTTGTCGCAAAGTTCAGAAAAGCGTACAGTTGTCGAGCTCACGGGTCGACCAGCTAGAAGTCTCCGTCGTGATGAAGCGTAACACTATTGAATTCCTCAAAAGGATCGGCCACCTCTCCGTTGGGCGTGGCAAGACCCGATTCTAGAGGGACGCCCTTGGGCTTCGAAGTCCCGCCAATATCGACACTGGCGCTCTCCTTGACATTGCGGAAATTCGCCGTGTCCGTTCCGCGGCTCTGGTGTGGAATCATGGGCGGTTTCATATGGCGGATGAGCGCCCATTGCGTCTGTCTGAAGAAAGGATGAGTCTTGACATCCGACGCCCCAGCTCGAGCGCCAAGGCGCTTGGTTTCATCCTTGATCAGCAACTTGCGGATCAGAGACTTGCATAAACTGTGGATGAAAATGTCAGTTTGGACGAATGAGAGCAAGGACTTGACGACAGCCTTACTTCGAGATCTGCTGCACTCCTGCATGCTCTGGGAATTGCACTTCGTCCCTTAGGATGTTTCCGAACGTTGCATTCCTATTCTTGCCCTTGAAGGGCGTGGTCCCGTAAAGCATCTCGTAGATCAAGATGCCCAGAGTCCACCAATCGACCGCGCTGGTATGTCCGCAGCCCTTGATAACCTCCGGAGCAATGTACTCTTCAGTGCCAACAAAGGAGTTTGTTCTGAAGTCAGCAATACATGACTTGGTGTCAATGGTGGGTAACGATGTGGCGGAGTTGCCGCTGCGCGCAGGAATCATAGTAGGGGCCCCGCCCGGTCCAGATTGTTTAGACAAATCGAAGTCTGACAGCATGATGTGGCCAGACTGGTGAAGAAGAATGTCTACCAAGATACCATCATTAGCAACGAGCAATCACTGTTATCGGATTAGGTTTCGGGGGGAAAAAGCATACTTTCTGGTTTCAGATCGCGATAGATGAATCCCATGAGATGAAGGTATTCTAAAGCGGCAGTGACTTCTGCTGCATAGAAACGGGCGGCATCCTCCGATATACACTTTCCTGGGCGTGTTTGAAGCGCTGTGCAGCATGTGATCAGTGATATGATTTGGGGACAATTGCACTGGGGTACACACCTCGAAAGAATTCGCCGCCGCTACAGTACTCCATACACAAGTAGAGGTAGTCCTCAGACTGGAAAGAATGGTACAGAGTCACAATGAACGGATGGTTGCTCGTAGCAAGAATTTCCTGCTCGGCCAATGCCCGCTTGATCTTGTTTCTCTTGATCATCTCCTTTTTACTCAAAACTATTTCGGCACATTAGCTTGTGTTTTTTTTTTTCCAGTAAGTCCAAGCAACCAATTTGGACGAGGTTGCATGAACGGGCAGAATTGCGGAAATTTACCTTTCATAGCGTACAAGCGACTCGACTTCCTCTCACGAACAAGGTAGACCTTACCCACGTCACCCTTGCCGATCAACTTGATCTTGTCGAAACTGCTAGGGCCAACCTCCACATTCCGGACCTTGATCGAATTCGAACTATACGTCCTGCGAAAGGCAGAAGCGGTGCGAATCTGACCGGGACTCGGGATCTTGCTGTCTGGTCCCAGTTTGGGTACGGTAAGTGTACTAATATCTGAATCTCCAGAGGCTTCCACCAGGCTGACTTGAGACTGATTGATCCCCGATTGTTCAAGCAGAGGCTCTTTACCCATCTCCGCGGTCTGAGGACGTGCATCAGACTGACCTTGCGTGAAAAGGCCTTGTGCATTCGGAGCTGACGCAACCCGGCGAAGCTTCCGCGCTAATTCCTCCTTGTTGGCTGTCGTAGCTTGCTCAGCAGCAGAGACACCATCCACCTGCAGTTCAGGGGTGTCTGGAGGGGAGGAGGGGACCGAGCCGTCATTGCGATGCTGCAGGGAAGGCTGTCCCTGGTGAACGAAATACGGATTGGCAGTAGCAGTAGGGGAGACGCCTTCATCGAGCGGGTTGCCTTCACTTGCGACGGTGGTTGAGCGATTGCGACCGATGGTAGGTAGGAAACGGGATTGTCTAAATGTCGACTTCGCTTCAGCCTTGGTGCCGGTGGACGGGCTGGCGTCTCGGTCTCGTTCTCGATCGCTGCTGGAATGATGACTGACATTGCTGCTGGAACTATTGATGCGGAAGAAATTCTTTATCCTTGTCGGGAAATGGCTGGATTCATTGTTGTGTTTTTTGGAGGCCAGGGACAGACCAGGGAAGTTCCCACGTTTCTCATTCGGCACACCGGACGGACTAGAAGCGAAAAGCTGCGTCATGCCGGTGGATAGGGAGGTTGAAGATACCACCAAACGTCCACCTGTACCTCTGCTATGGAAAGAGCTGGGGAATCCAGAAATTGCCAGAGGATGGAAAAGGGAAACAGCGCGAGGAAGATGAAATGCGGCACAGGATAGGATAGACGAAGGGGGGGAGCCGTGTGGGAGGGCGGCCAGCAACGGACTGGAAACCGCGGGGAGAACGTTGGCGGTACAGAGTTGTTGGTTGGTTTGGTTGATATGCCCAGGAAACTCGCCTTAGAGGGACGTGCACCCTGGAAAAAGAGAGGCTGTGGGGACGATTGGCATGGGTGGAAACGAGATGGCAGATAATCCTAGATGATAGATAGAAATAGTACTTTCAAACGAGAGACAACAAGAATCCTCTATCTATCGAAGAGGATGGATGGACAGAAGAGGAGGGAGAGACGGAGAGAGAGGGAGAGAGAGAACAAGAGAGGGAAGCGGGAGTGGAGACGTGGAGGGATTCCAGGCTTAGTCAAGGCTGTGTAGATACAGATAGGATAGTTACAGGTAGCTGCAGTAGTAGTCAAGTACCGAAGGTTGATGGAACATTGATAGAAGAGGTTTCAAAGAGTCATCTAATACTTAAGTAATAATAACAATCGATACCCAATGGAGGAGACAATGGAATTATCCAAACCTCCAAACCCAATACCAGAGGTACTACCTAAGGTATGTATGAGTATCATATCATATCCACTATCGAACTATTTCTTCGATGCTGTCGCCACTCAACCACCGAATCCAATCAAACTGCTCAATGCTGTTCGCCTTCTGGCCATGGATATCAACCCCCAATTCACCAACGGTTAGTTTCTTTCTTCCCAATGGACCATTTGAGCTAAGATAAGATAGATAGATACTAAGGTACCTTAGTTGGACAGGTACACTCTTCCTCACATTGGCCACATGCTGTCTTCGCTTTGATTTTTCCACCCAAATTCTCTTATGGACATACTCCTGGTAGCATGGACTGAAAAGAACAGACTATTACTACGATGTCATCCAAGAACCGAATATCTACCGATCCATCACAAGTGTTGCCAATCTCGAATTGAAAAGGAGTCAAAACCTTGGTATGTACCACGGATTACGAGAGGGTACTTAGTACTTAGGTACCACTGCGTCTCTGTCGATATGTGGAGAGAACTTACTACCTAGGAGTCTAGACCGAGGACTCGAACTCACAAGTCACAATGCTCTTTGGTGGACCTTCCTCCGTTTGTTACTAAGGTAGGTATTATGCAAGGAGACCCGGTGTCTCTTCTGGCTGGCTTCTCGTCCTTAACAGTGGAACCTTTGGGGGCACCAGAACAGCCGATACCGCATTCCATTAGACCAGTCTCTTTGACGCTACCTTGGAATGGACAACCAAGTTGAGTTGCAGAATGCGGACAGACGATGCATGATGAATTAGTCTAAATGCCTGAAGACTTGAGGATAACAATTGATGAAGCAGCACTCGCTCTCGGTCGACTTTGGCTTGCGCGAAGCTAGGTACTCAATCCCTGAGCAGTCTAGGTAACAACTACCATGTATGAAAAAGTACTAAACTACTGCCTGAAGACTATGGTTCTAAGTACACAAGACGTCCTGTCGCGAAGTGATGTTCCTGGCTTCGAGAGCCGCGACCCTCATCGGGCTAATCCAATAAGCCTGCGCAAGAAGCCATCCTAAACTATGCAGAAACTGATATTCTATGATTGAAACACCAATTGAGTGAAGTCCGACACCCCAAGCACCTGTGGGTGACCTTTCTGAATCGTGGTCTATGGCCTGAACAGCCCACTTCGTGATTCGAGATTTACTGTCTTGTTCTCCCGGTAAATGCTATAGACCACAGGCCCCCATCGCACATGATCGTCAAACTTTTCCCAGCTTTGCGTGCTGGGCCAGGGCTTGCATTTTGTCATCACCATGACTGATCTCGCTCAAATAAGGTCTGTTCAGCATGCCTTCAACAGGGGCAAGGAACGCATGGGCATTGACATTTTGAGACACAGCCAATGCGGTAGTTTTCTGAACAAGCAAACCGTGATCCTTGTTCAAGTACTGTGTGAGTAATTGGGGGTTGGCCTGCTTCGCGCTGACAGAGTTCGTTCCTTCGCTCAAATCACTCATACTAGTCGCTGAAGTGGAAGGACGCGGTCCATATGCGATTGTGCTATGCGATTGTGAACTTTTTGGATTCGAACCACTGGCATTTGAAAGCTGCGCCGTGTGTTCCGGGTCTATTGCGGCGGCGAGGTTGGGATAGCGTCGACTATTGCAACGGGTTCACTTGTTTTAGCACAATTGTCCCTATTGATAGAGTGGCGTCCTTACCTTTTCTCATGCGTCTCCAAATCATTTCCGCTCTCTTCACAATGGAGCGAGTTCCTGTCCACCGAACGCTTGCTGGTTTCGTCAGCGACAATATCCTTGAACCAGGCCTGGCAGGCATAGAGAAACGCTTACTCCTCGCTACGACCGGTAGCCCATGAATCCGTTGTCGATGTATAGGACGACAATGACTTGCTATCTGTGTCCTCATCTGTCTTGAAAGACATCTCGCCACGCCGGATGGGCGCTCTTTGAATTGGGATTTCAGATGCCCAAGGTCTTCTGAGAAGTGGTATGGCCGGCCTGTACATCCCGGCTCCTTCGATCAACTCCGTGGACGATTTTCTTTGAAGGTAGGAATGGACTTTCGCGTTTTTGTCACTGTATCTATGACTGTCTGGTACCGGCGCTTGTACTGAACCCCGTGACAGTTCTTGAATAAGTTCGTTGTTGGGATCAACCTTTCGCGTGGCATCTCCAATCATACGATCTGTACCACAGAGTTCAGAGAATGTCGGTCGCGCAAAGGACGTCCAGCCGTCATTGACGCCTGATTTTCCTTCTCTTGCGCTACCTCCAACGAGGTCTCTAGCTCGGGTATTGGCTCTGGCAAAGTCCGATCCCGACTTAGAGTTTCGATTGCGTCGGGATAGCCTAGATGCCATCGAAGCATTACGTCCTGAGGACGGATTTTGGAATCCAAAGTAATTGTCCAGGCTTCCCACATTTTGACTGGCCTGCCACTGAAAATACGGGTCGACAGGCTGATCGGCCAGGAGAACTGGCGGCACCACACTGACCGGAGACAGCATGGAAAATCCAGGTATCGCATATTGTGAAGCAGAAGGGGGCATTTCCAGAGGAAATTGATTGGTCATCACGCTCTGAGGCAAACAATTGTTCGATTGGACTGCAACGCCAGCCTCCTTTGCCTTCTGATTCCCAGATTCTTTCGAGACACCGAGGGTTGCTTCCAACTGTTCTTTGTACGACCGCACCACATCTAATTCTCGCACCAAACTCTTTCGCTGTTCAACCAAGGACTTCTTCGCGCAGGGATCCATATCCCAAGTATGCATGGCCATGTATCTATCGAGACTTGTAAGCTGAGTTGATAGGGCTGCATAATCGATCGAGATTTGGCTCAGAGATTTGCGCAGTGATGCTTCCAGAAAAGGGCCCATCGAGAACAGTGGCTGATTGACAGCCGTCATTCGACCGCTGACTTGGTGATACCCTTGCAGTCCAGGGGTTGGAACAACCGATTCTAGGATTGACGACGATTGGCTAATGGTCGAGGGGAACCCACCGATCATACTGCTGCATGGAGCTATATCCGATGGGGTAACCAGGCCAGAGGACTGTGCCTGCGATGCGGACGACATGAAAGGAATGACGTTCGGTGCGCTCAAACCTTGCATAGATGGAGAAAAGGCGAACGAGTATCCCCCGAGACCATACATAGCATAATCTTGCAGCAGAGGTGCACGAGGCTCCTGAAATTGTGGTTCACATTGAGAAAATTGTTGGCTCATCAGCGGGAAGGCCGCATTGGGCTGCGAAAACATGGAAGAACCTAGTGCAACCGGCGCTATGGTCGGAACCAACGTCGAACTTGAGATCCGCGGCTGCGATTTGTCATTCATACTTATACTTGACAATCTCGCGTGCGTCGCCAGTATTCCTTGAGGTTGCGGAGATGATGAGTCGCCACTGGCATGAGGGCAGATATCCTCGGACCGTGCTCTCTTGTCCTTGGTCTTGGACTTGCCTTTACCGATTGTCGGAGTAGAGTATGTACCACGTTCATCTTTGGTTTTGTCAATGACTGACAGCTTCATCTGAGGTGCAGGGCTCTGTGAATCCATTGGAACGATTCGGCCACCAGCAGTGACACGCTGATGTTTAGGTGACGCGTGCTCCTTGAGAAATCTCGCAAATCCAGCATCAGCTTGAGCTAGAGCTCCCCGTGGAGGATCACTTGGCTGGCGACTAGGTTGGCATAAACGAGGCCCCGTGATTGAGTGGGCTCCCTGACTTTGATGCGATCTATTTGACACGTTCCTTGACCCGTTGACTGGACGCTCAGACAAAGCACTCCTATCTGCTTTGTGTTGGCGGAGCAAGTTGTCTGGATGACATTAAACAATTAGCATTACCGAGCTCATTGTGCTTAGATGATACTGAGGAGGCACATACAGCCCAGTGCCTGCGCACTGAATCGATTAATGTCTATGTGCACATTCTGGCTCATTGCCAGCAAGGTTGGGATGTCATATCTCATTTTCCGAGTTGGGCAAATTGTGCTTGAGGGACGTCCAAAGGAAAAGATCAACAAACATGAGACGGGTCAAAGCAGTTATGAGAAGAGAAGATGCGAGAGAGGCTTTCCTATGATGTTGTGATGTCCTCCTTGTTGGTTGTTTTGCGTCGAAGAAACTCACTGTGGGTATATAGTCGGCCGAATCTAGAAGGTGGACTAGACTCTGCCAAGTCAGTGAGCAAGTGCTCTCGTGAGGAAGGAGCACACTTAGATCATGCATGCGAAGTACTTGGGTTATATTATTGTCAGGTAAGGTAGGTAAATATCATTTGAATAGCATATCCCAGATGGCTATCTCATTATAGTAAGCAATTTCAGTGAACAGACCAACCCAACTGGCGCTACAAGGGCATGGCGATCCATATCAAACATGTTCCCGAGCCTTGACCGGCTTGAAAACGCTGTGAGTTTTCCAGATATCGTCATGTTCGTCTTCAGAGGGAGATGCAGTCGTCCGACCACCAGCCAGAGTAGACCGCGTGTCCATATGTTGCGGCCTCATCTCCCAGCTTTCGGTCCGCTCATGGCCACAGACAACTGCTCCTCCAACTCCAAATCTCTCATCGTTTGGGCTCTCAGCTGACTTAACATCCTCACGCGTAGGATGTTTCAAGGTAAGGTCAGCGTCGCTTGCCATCTTGCTACTACCCTTGAACCCTCCAGCGCTTGATCTGCGCATACGTCTCATGCGGAGCCCACACACTAGGAAAACAAGTATAGCAGCGAGTGCTAGAGCCACGAGTGTAACCACAGCTCCAACGACGCCCGCAATAGCCGGGCTCAGCCTGTTGTCGGAGGTAGATGTCTTCTTAGCCTTGCCCATCACTCCGGAGCAGAACACAGCCGACGATCCGCATTCGAGGCACCACTGCTTGATCGAACTGAGCGAGAATTTCTCCATCTGTGCGTGGAACTCGGAGTAAGGAATCGCATCATTACTTGGACCGTGCCCAAAAAGTGGATAGGATTGAAAATCGGCGGAGGTGCCTGTTCCGTTACGCAGGAGAAATCGCACGTAGAGCTGAGACTGATCAGGGTATGTCGGGTTTGCTTCAGCTTCGAGGCTAAAGAGTTCGAAGACAAGCGACGCTCCGAGGTCTGGACGCGAGTAGAAGTTCTCCTGGCTCGACGAGGCAAGCTGCATGAGCGAAGCAAGAGCAACAGCGGGTTCCGAGCCACCAAAAACAAGGCTCATCTTGCTGTTGGCTCCCCGGTATTGGATATTGGTGTCGAAAGCTTCCAAAACATGCGACGCCAAGGTTCTCCCTGCAATTGTGCGTATGTCATTGGATAGGCCGAGTGCCGACGAGGATACGTTGCCGTTCGTTGCGTAGATATAGTGATCGGCATACCATCGCGCAAGTTCGATGTCCTCTCGATTCAGGTGGTACAGCAAAGTTTTGTTGTGCAATAACTCGTACTCGAGGAACTCCGATATGTAGAAGGCGTTGGCATAATTGGCTGAGGAGAGGTCATATACTCCGCTCAAGGATTGGCTGTACAAGCGGCCGTAGAATGCTTCCGACTCTTGCGTAAGTTCCTGCACCTCAGGACTGAATTGGTACTCCGAGTCAGCGACTTCGTGTAGAGTACATTCACCCTGGCCGTCCACAATGATCGATCGAGGATCTGCTGAGCCCAGAGTGATCACTTGAGGATACTGATATCCGTTCAAAGGAGCAGTAGACAGCGACCCGTTAGCGAGCTCGAAAGAATGGTCATAGTATTCCCCGTCGTAAACCTGGTCGAGAGGCGGATACAGTCCCTGCATGAAAGCTTGGGCCGATGCCACAACTGGCTGATCGGTACTTGAAAGAACAGAGATCTCCTCGGCTTCTAGTGCATACGGAGACAGGCTCGGTATTCTTGTGCTCACGTCACTGCCCTCGCTATGCACGGCAACATACCGGGCGCGAAAGGCGGACCCTGCGGCATACAATTCGCTCGCTCCGTAGGGAGTCAACGCTCTTGGGCGAGGCAGAGCGTTCGGGATACTATCCCCGTGAAGTGTGTATGCGAAAATCGACCAGACTTGCTCCTTGAGGTCTTGGGCCGCAACCAAGGTGGGAAATTGCAAAGCAGCTGCTGCTGCCAGGGCCAGGAAGCGTTCGCGGGAGACAAACATGACGACTAATCTAAGAAGCAATTTCTCATAGAAATGGTAGGCGTTCAAAAGTGCGAGGCTCAGCCCAGCTAAAATAGGAGCTCGACAATCGACGTTTCAGAAGCTCAGGGTAGTAGAAGAAAAATATAGTCACTTCCTTCAGGGAATAAGTCAGTTAATGGAAAAATTGCAAGCATCCTGTCCAACTTTAAGGTACCAAGGGAAAGCATTGCAAAGACGTCTAGACCCCATTCACAACCGTTGGTCTCCCAATGGGGCTGGTATTGATGTGACGAAATGAACATCATTGCATCAACACTGGAGTTGTATCAATATAGGCAGAGTGCTTGTAGAAGTTACATGTGTGGTTGTCCCACCGGGCATCCTTTTCTGTCCCATGGTCGAAAGGGTACAGGTAGATGTATGTCTGTCCCGCTGACAAGATACATTGGCACGTAGATACTTCTCAGAGACTCGTATCTTGCAGTTTCAGTCCACAACCTTTGTTAGCGTTGAAGCTCAATGAACTCACTCTTCAGCCTCCACAAAGCCGAGATAAATACCACTAACTCAGCTTTGTGAATGGAATATTCTATCCTTTTTCTCGATCAAAGCAGCACGTCAGTCTGTTTCAATTGCAGAGACATGGTAAGAATCAGGGTCAATGACGTGAGCACCGGTAATGGTAGGTAGCATTCGAGCCAAAGTAACCATATTATCCGCCAGATATGAGGTTTTGCTCTGGACCTCTGGTACCTTTGACTCGAGTTTCAGTGGACGTAGTTGGGTCCCAAGATAACCTAGTCACGTCCGTGAAAGAAGTCAAATGAGTTAAGGTAGTATAATGTACATCGATGAAAGTTGAGAGATTCGTTTAGATACGGAGTTGCGGGGTTGGTTTGGGATCCTCAGGCCTCAAGGCAGAACTCCAGGTCAGCATTTCTACAGTCTGTTCATGCCGCCTGTTCTTCAAGCTGGGGGGCATTCAACTTGGTTAGAATTATATTTGAGGTCTATTGGCCTTTGACTATTGAAATAGCAGTCTATCAATTGAACAGAACGGTGAAGCCCCTCCAAGATGGTAGCATTCACAGCCTTCACGCATCTGATTCGTCCCTCTGACCGCTTCCGGCTGCCGGCGAAAAATCTATCACGCCGCCGCCGTCCGGTCCGTCTCACCTTCTCCCCCAAGCCCTACACCTGCGCCCTACCCCTAAGCCCTTATTTCTGCTCTTGGAAGTCCAGATAGCATCTTCTTATGACCTTGCCTTGTCCAATATGGTAAACACGCGAGGTTCAGGTCCCTCATCTGACGATCACGTCTCTTCTGAGCTTCCTGCATCTCCAGCCCTCAAGGTCGAGGACGATGGTAAGTGTTCCTCGTGGCTTATTGCGGACCTCGATCTGCCCGTCCAACTTGACACAGGAGGTCATTGTCATTCCTTTCATTTATTTAAACTTCTTTACAGCCTGTTTCTGGTTTAAAGGTCAATTCTGACTCTGATTCAATAGCAGCTTCTTTGAAGGCGTCTCACCCGCGCGAGGAGGACGAGGATGGCTCCACTTCACCTCGAGCCTCGAAGAAGCGGCGCATCGAGGCCGAGTCGGAAGCGCTGCTCCTACCATCCCAAACGACCGAGTTGACCGATCAAGCCCCCGGGCATCAGATTGAAGAAGAATTAGTATCGGCGCTCGGCTCTGGAATGGTCGATACTGTGGAACGCCAGAATGACGGGCAGACTCAGATGGTCAGCTCCGCGGGAGATCCCGTGGCGCCAGAGACAAATCCGGAGCTTGACGATATGGCCTCTGTCATCTCAAGTATCATGAACCATGCTGAACGGGTCGAGGAACAATGCGCTATGGGTCAGCAGCAATTGACTACTGTGACAACGACACCCACTACCCCTGCGGATCAACCGGCACCCAAGGGTCTAGTTTATGTGAAGGCGAACTCGCACTTGAAGATCCAGAGCTTGCCTATATTGGACAATCTGGTAAGAAATGCTTCGTATCCTGCCATGTGTCTCTCCTAGAGGTCAAACCTGACACGTGTGCGGTTCAGTCTACCCAAATTCTCTCTCTTCTAGCCAAATCTACTTATCAGGACATTACCTCGTTTGTGTCCGAGCCGGAATCGGAAAACGGACAAGCTTATGCAACCATGAGATCCCTCTTCGATCATACAAAAAAGGTGTATTCCTCCAAGGAATCTTTCCTGTCGCCGACTGAACTTGGTCTCACGGAACCTCCTCAAGTTGACATCATCAGAAAAGCAAATTTGGCTTCATTCGTTTCAAGCATCTTTGGCACACAAGAGATTGGATTTGCTGAATTAAACGAGCATTTCCTGGATGTTTTCGTCCCAGAGGGGGGCCGCTTGTTGAAAGTACAAGGTGCTCTGTTTTTGGAGCTCAAGACCCAAGCGTTCATAGCCTCCATGAACAACACTGAAAGGACAAGGACTGAGTTGCTGTACGACCTGTTTCCAGATGATCTGGAGCAGCGCCTACTTGACCGACGGCCGGGAACTCGTCAACTAGCACCCAGTGAGGCTGATTTCGTGAAACGTGCCGGCTCACGTCGGGATATTCTTTTGAACGATGTCAACAACGAAGAAGCGATGAAAGCTCTGCCCGATAAGTATCACTGGGAAGATTTTCTCCGAGATTTGAGTTCATACATTACGAAGAACTTTGATGCTATCTGCCATCAACAGGTTCGTTGTTTCTGTGACTCCTGTGCTCTATACTGGCCTTGCTAATGCTGATCAGACTAAGAAATTGAATAAGGGACGGCAACCATCTTCATCGAGTGGCGACTCACAAGATCCGCCCAGTGCACCCCTCCAAGGCCAATTCCCTGTTGCTTCGCAAGCGCCCGAAGTTCCTGTTGATAAGAATATGCATGGCGACTTGGTAGCCCGTGCGGCACGTGCGGCCCAGATCGCCTTGCAGGGCCATGGATTGAGACGTTCTCAACAACAGCAGTCCCAACAACAGCAACAGCAGCAGCAACAGCAGCAGCAGCAGCAGCAGCAGCTCAGTCAGCCACAGCAACCAGGACAACCTCAGCCCCAGCAGCATCAGCATCAAAACCACATTCAACAGGCTCAGCAGCAACCCCAGCATCACATACAGCAACAGCATGGTTCTCAACATGGGGGCCAGGTTCCTCATGGGTATACTGCTGCTCAGCCCACGGGTCAGTTGCCACCTCAGCAAAACCCACATCAACAGCACTACCAGCATAGTCCAACGCCGCCGGGGTATCAGCAACAGCCCGGGCAGCTCACATTCCAGCAAAGCCCTCTGCAAGCAAATTTTCAACAATATAACCCTGGGGCTCCCGTCTCCATGCCAGGGAGACCCAACGGTGGCCCTTCGTCAAACCATGGTTATATGCCTGGAATTCCTCACTATTCGCAATCTCAACCCACTCAGGTACTCTATGAGCGCGCCCGCATGGCGGCTTCCGCGAAATCTTCTCCAAGCAGTCGCAAATCCGGCCTACCAAGCCAGCGCCGCCCCTGGACTACTGAAGAAGAAAACGCTTTGATGGCTGGACTGGATCGTGTAAAGGGCCCCCACTGGAGTCAAATTCTTGCGATGTTCGGCCCCGGAGGTACTATCAGCGAAGCTCTGAAGGATCGGAATCAAGTCCAGCTGAAAGACAAGGCGCGCAACTTGAAACTCTTTTTCCTCAAGAGCGGTATCGAAGTTCCTTATTACCTGAAGTTCGTTACCGGTGAACTCAAGACTCGTGCTCCTGCTCAGGCCGCTAAACGTGAAGCACGGGAGAGGCAGAAGAAGCAAGGTGAAGAAGATAAGGCTCATGTGGAAGGTATCAAAGGCATGATGGCCCTCGCTGGCGCACATTCGCAGCCCGTTGCGCTCGGACATGGGCACGAGGCGATGTCTGCTTCTCCCGGCCTTCCGGATACTGGCAGCCATTCTACGTTCGATCAGACCGCGGAACAGAACCTGATGCAGACACTGGGCCAGGAAGTCCATGGGGCTCAATTTGGACAACCTCAACATCAACCAGGCAACGTTGATCCCAGCATGCACATGGGGCAGTAAACTGGTCGTTTTTTCTACAAGTTCTTTTTCGCCTGCCCCAAGGATCTGTTTGAAGTCGCTGGGGATTTTATCATCCGACTGGCGATATGTCTTTTTTACTTCTGGTAAAGGATGCTGCTTGCTGCCTTGTGCAATAGGACAGTCAGTTTGGGTCTGGTTTGGTCTGTAACAGTAGAATTTAGGTATCTATTTGTGCATATGTAAAAGGACCCTGTATTTATATGAATATCATTTTCATTTGAACTATCGTAGAAATATCATGAAATCATACTTGATCGTTGCTTTTTTGAGCCCATGCAGCAGAGCGCATAATTATCCTGAGTGTCAAGTACATCGGGCCGAACACGGACAGTTCTCCGCTTGTGCATCACCAACACATGGGTCGATTCGCTGTACACACCCCAGAAAGAATAGACCTCAAGGAACGTTGTCCCCCAATTCTCCTATTCGTCCAACAGGGGGTTACCCGTCCATTCACTTCCGTCTCTCTTGCTCAAGTCACACTACCTTAATAACTGATCTGCCACCATGGCCGATTCATCAACACCATCACAACCTTTACCTTCCGCGCCGCCTTCGTCGCAACCACCACCTTCATCCCAGATCGATTCACAAGGGCTTCCACCGTCGTCAACACAGACAGCAGTACCAGGAGGGCCATCGGGTACTTCTGAACCCCCGGTTGTACCAAAACAGGAACCAAATACGACGGATGTCGCAGCCCTTGACGCCTCTATCGAGCAGGATATCGATATGAACACGGGCAGCAATACCAACGTCGCTGGCGCAAGCGACGGAGATAATACGACAGGGAACCCTGTTCAAGATGCAGTACCTACATCTGTCGATGCTATAGCAGCGGCAGTGGCGCCATCGAAGAAGGAGACGAGTCTGCGCGAGTTTCTGGGCAAGATGGATGATTATGCGCCTATTGTAGGT